CCGAATCAGACCCTAATCTCCAGTCTCCGATACCAGCCCCATACTGTAAAATACGGTTTTTCGAAGCCGAAAATTCTACAAGTCAGAAATCTCGGAAACGAAAAGTCGTATTAAAATTCGGTCAGTACAGTTTTCCGATCTTCGAAAGTGGAAAAGAATCGCATCGATCCGCAACGGATCGGACGAGGGTGATTTTCCGAAAATTTTTCAAATCCCGGATCAGACCCTAATTTACAGTATCCGATACCAGGCCCATACTGTTAGAAACGGTCTTCCGAAACCGAAAATGTTTACAAGTCCGAAAATCCGAATTTTTTTGTATAATCTGGCAACATTGTATTGAAAAATAACTAATTTCTCGCCCCATCTGCAACACTGTAAAATGCGATGTTGCAAAATTTCACCTATAAATAAATCATTTAATTAAGTGCACCGTCCGGCAACGCTGCTGCGCCATCTTGAAAAATACACCATTGTAGAAACCGCAGATTCAAGGGGCTACATTACACCATTGCATAACCCCATTATTGAAGGGGCAACATGCAATACTTTTACTTTTACAACGTTGCCATATTGAATAATAATTACCATACAACGCTGTATTTTAATTCGTATTTTTTTGCACCATCATGCAACGCTGTTGGATTTCTTACCTGGTCAAGTCGCAATTTTCATGCTACTTGCTATTGGTCTCCCTGTGCAGACGTGTGATTTTATGGGAGAGCCATGGGTAATGGTTCCTAATTGCAAAATGTAATCCCATTCATTCAAAAGTGGCGGACTTCATTTGGTAAAATAACAGTTTTCTTTCAAAAATGAGATGATATAAACCCAAAAAACCCAAAAACTTGGGTAAAGAAACTCCGGGCAAGTCACCATCCTCTTGCCAAAAACTTCCAAAAGCTCTTCTTCGTTCTCCTCTTCATTGGAAAAAGAAAATATCACACTTCGACAGTTTCCATTTCTGTCATATAGTACCCAAAGCGGACCAAAGAACGGAACTCTTAGTCGTTTACACATTTACCTACTTAACAAAATCTCCAGGAGGTCACAGACAGGCTGGCAGCCCCTCATCGGACAAAAACGCACACCGTACCATTTTTTCCTTGTAGGTATGTGCCTCCAAAGTACATGAAATGACTCCTTGAGGGGCGGGCAAGTTTGATTGAAATTCACGTTGTCTTCTGAAAATGAGCTATAATTTTTGCCTTGAAGAAGAAGAAAATCGAGTTATCATTTTCTTCCATACACGGTAGGTATGCCTATGAGAGGCACCAGGAACGCCCTCCAAAATTATTGATGCAACCCGCACGACTCCGAGATTTTCCCCACGCAATAATCCCCTTCAAAAATGAATGATGCAACAAGCGCGTCCTGTATGACCGCGAAAGCTCCTCAGATGAGTAGTCTTTTGGTCTGGTCAGAAAAATATTCAAACTTTATTTTCCGTCTTCTCTTCTGATTTCCCGCATTGACGGAGGCGAAATTTTTTGGAAAGCATGACGCGCCCGGCCCAATGCTCCCACTGCAGTGAGGATCATGAGGACCCTCAAGGAGTCATTTCATGTACTTTGGAGGCACATACCTACAAGGAAAAAATGGTACGGTGTGCGTTTTGGTCCGATGAGGGGCTGCCAGCCTGTCTGTGACCTCCTGGAGATTTTGTTAAGTAGGTAAATGTGTAAACGACTAAGAGTTCCGTTCTTTGGTCCGCTTGGGGTACTATATGACAGAAATGGAAACTGTCGAAGTGTGATATTTTCTTTTTCCACTGAAGAGGAGAACGAAGAAGAGCTTTTGGAAGTTTTTGGCAAGAGGATGGTGACTTGCCCGGAGTTTCTTTACCCATGTTTTTGGGTTTTTTGGGTTTATCGGTCACAGGAACCTTGAGCACGGTCTATGGTAAAATTTTCAGGGCAAAGGTCGAAGAGGTTTGGAGCGGCCAGGAAGCCGAAGAACAGGCTGGTTTTAGAGCCGGTAGGTCTACCGTCGACCATTTGTTTACCATTACCCAGGTCATCGAGAAGAAAAGGGCGGTCAGCCAGGAGCTGCACTTGGTATTTGTACAGAAAGCTTATGACAGCGTGCCGATGATGAAGCTTTGGGAAGCCTTGGAAAAAAGGGGTTTTAGCAAAGGACTTGTGGGGGCAATTAAATCCTTTTTATAACGGGAGGATAGCAAGAGTTAAAACTCGTGGAGCGTTGTCCGGAGGTTTCTTCGTCACGAAAGGGCTAAAACAAGGCTGTTGTTCGTCACCAACACTATTTAAGGTATACCTAAAGCACGTGTTAAGGGAATGGAAAAAGAAGGTTGCGGGAATGGGCGCTCCACTCCTTGATGGGCAGACCCTTGCCGCGGACTGCTAACTGTGTCCACTCATGGTTTCTGTTCTGGTTCCGGTTTTCTGAAATGCATATCGATACGTGAGTATTTTTACACGTAGAATCCAATGTTCACGTCAGGGAGTCGGCACATTTCGATTTTTCTCGATTTTATACGGAAAATGTACGGTTTTTTGGGATTGAAATTAATATTGTTTCATAAAAAAAAAATGCACCCAAAATGAATATAGCATATTGATTTTTACATATTTGCATTCACGAAATTGGTTGGTAAATTCAACGAGTGGTGCATCGACCTTGTATATCAAGTTTCTACAATTTCTTACGGCAAATCGGTAGATTTTCGGGATGTAGATCGCTTACTCTCAATTCATGAATGAATAAAGCATGGATATGGTTGAACTTCTTTGCACGGAAAGACGTTTAAAATAACAAAATCAAGACATATTTAATGCAATTGCATTTATATCGAGTTCAATAATATACTCAACGGGATTTATACTACCGGTGATTTGGGTATTTCAGCCCCAAAGTACCTTTAAATCGACTTTATCTTTCAGGAGTTCGACAGAATTCTTCCTTTCTTCGCTTAAATTATTTTGTAGCATTTTTCTTCAAGAATCTGATAAGGTTTGCTTGGGGCAGATCAAAAAACTTAAACTTGTTTGAATGACTTTTTACATTCACAATACACGGTCTCGTCAAAGTGCGTCGTTGACCTCGCAGTGTTGGATCGTATGAATTTTCTTGTTGTGCTACTTGCCTATTTTGAAATCTCTGTAAATGAAAACTAAAGGGGTTGATATGTGCGAGTTAATGACGCGCCTTATCAACACATTGTGTTGGAGTTCACTGCTTGTTTTGCGTTCTTCTCAAAAACGAATAAGGGGTTTAGTTTAAATTGAGTTCTGCGCGTTTAAAATTGAAAAAACCCCTCAAAATGGGCCATAAATGGCAACAATAGACCGTAAGGCCCCTTAAAATTTATTTGAGGCCTTTTTAAAGGCCAGAAACGGAAAGTACGCAAACAAATATAGAGGAATCATCTGCGAGAAAAGTGATAACAGTCGAAATAGTCGACGAAAATAACTATTTTCGATGCCAGGATTTTGGGTTTGAGGCGTTGCTGCGTCTTAGCATAGACTCAGTTTGGTAAATTGTTTGGCAAAGAATCTATCTAGAAGTAGTACTTTGAAAATATGAAATATTCAGCAAAATCCAGGTGGGGCCAGAAAAGGCCCGAAACGATACTCCTCCTTTTTTAAACACAGGCTTTTGAATAAATTAGGGGAGCAAACTAAATTTGTTACGTATCCTTACAGTAAGAAGTACTATAGATACGAGGTCTGTTAGATTAGAAACCGGATTTTGGTAATTAGCCTACAATGCGTACGAATTACGTTTGCTTGAGCTTTCCTGATAGCAGGAAATATATTTAAGAACGCTAAGTTCACAAATTAGAAAAACCCTAAGTAGTTTCGATGGTATGTGGCTTGAAGTGTCGAGGCAACCTCACGGGTGTTTGCGATTTTTATGTTTGATCAACTCTCGAGAGACTCTTTTTTTTTCGGTCTTACACTACATTTTTCAACCCACAAGGATGATTGGAGTTTCGTCTCCATACATATATCGTAGCCGTACACTCAAGTATTGTCACCAAAATTTATCCTATCCAAAAATGTAGGATCATTGTTGGAACGTTTAAGCAGCTGAAGGGAAATTGACGTCTGGTTGGATTTTTGTTCATCGGACAACAATCAAGGGGCAAGTGTACCTGAAACTCGATGCATGTCTACATATTCTATCAAAATTGTATGCACAGATCCTTCAGAAATGTTACACTGTTCGACAAGTTGAAAACGACCATTTTCGAGCACTTTTGCCCGTACTCCTTCCACGTGACAAAATGTCAGTTGCCGTTGATGATCGTTTCCCATGCTCCTCATCTTCGACGAACTCCTGACCAGTTTTGAATCGTTCAACCTACTCAAAACGGTGGGAACAACTCATACAATGATCTCGGTAAACTTTACTTGGCATACCAAAAGTTTCGGTACAAGGTATACCTACTGAGTTTAAAACAAAATTTAATATTGAATCTTTGCTCTATCAGTGATCGCATGATGAAAATCGCAAAACGCACCTGACTTACTTGTATTCAAGATGACACAGAATAAACATTGATCAAAATAAACAAAATCTGTGAACATAGCGTTCTTAAATATATTTCCAGCTATCAGAAAAGCTCAAGAAAACCTAATTTGGACGCATTGTGGACTAGTTATGACTAGAATCCGGTTTATAATCCAACAGACCTCGTACTTACTTGGTAGTTCCTTTTTGGTGTACCTTCCGACTAAATAGTTTGTTTCGAAATTCTTTTCATCTTTTTCTAAAAAATCATTCGTTGTAAATTACAAGACAAATATTTCCTACTTTTTCAGATACCTATGCATCATAAAAAGATGACACAAATTTTTGGCGGATTGGTACGAGTGATTGGTTTCCCTCTGGAGTATTTTACGTATACTAAATTAAAGTAAGTTTGTCATTTATTGTCGATGTATCTATTTTAATATCAGGCTACTCTCTCGTTTAGTGGCTGACATTGAGAATAGTGCAAGTTTTCCAGCGAGTGGCACAGTTTGAATGATTACCTTGTCAGCTGCATTTTTATGTAACATCAAGGGAAAGACTTGCTCGTAGAGTCGTTTTTCAGGGTAACGTTTATTTTCACAGCCGTAAATGAACACATTATGTTTTCTTGAATGGGCATGGAGATCACAATACATTACGATTCCACACTCTTCCATCAGTCTGAAAAACCAGCGGAATGAATATAAGTAAATGTTGACGTTAAGCTGTGTAGATAATCTAAATGCAAGTTCAAAACAATTTAACAAACATCTATCTTCTCGCGTCTCTGGTTCTTTTCATTTTACTCATATAAAAGTAGTTATTTGTGAACGGAACTTTACTTTTGTAGGTATGTAAAGAATGACGCCTAAAAAGATATTCTGCGAATTCCTGGTTCCTCGAAAGCGAGAATTATTCGTTACTCTCGACTTCTTCTTTAACAAATATAATATTATACTGAAAACAGCAGTTTGCGGAGAAATTGTTCCCTCTTTACATATAAAATCCATTTGCTGAGAGTAATTTTACGAGAGTTAATACAGGGTGCGGCAAAAGTCCCGGGACGGCTGTTCATTTTTTAAACGGCTACACGTAGAAAAACGAATTTTGGGGGATGTTCTTAGGTCCAAGTAAGCTACTTTTTGGCACTCCCCAAAATTTGTTTGGGGGGCCCCCCTAAGGGAGGGCGGAAGGCAACTTTTTTTTTTCAAAGTGGCAACCCCCCACTTGTGACCCATCGTTGGAAAGGAGGATAAAAGAAGAAAATTTTTGGCGCTAGTCCCAGGTCGCCATCTTGATTTTTCACAAAATGGTGGCCGAAAATGGCTGAAAAATGGGTATCTCGGCTATTTATCGATGGAATCGCATACAACTTGGTATCCGGGGGTTTTTTGGGACGAAGAACGAATCTGCCTTCAGTTTTTCTAAATAACCAATATGGCAGCCTACAAAATGGCGGAAAAATTGTTAGCTCGGCTATTTATCAATGGAATTGCATAAGACTTGGTATCTGGGCGTTCATTGGGACGAGAAAAACAAATTCGGTATTGGTTTTGCAAAATTCTCACACTATTCTGAAATGGCGGCCAAAAATGTCATGAAATTATGGGTACGTTCATAACCTACCCATTGATTACCGTGGAATTAAGGAGAAAACAGAAGTTTGTTGTAACTGACACATTTTGGTGGAATTTGATACTGGGAGTATTTCCGGACCAAAAACAAGGGAGTACCGGTTTTCTAAAATCTTTAAAACCCTCTTTTTTTTTTTAAAAAAAAAAATCTTTAAGATCCTAATGATAAACTTCTTCATCCGAAATAGTTTGTTTTGCGAGAAAATGTGATGATTCTTACACGAAAAAAAGCCGGGAGATATCAGAATTCGACGAACAGTAGATCCATCAATCCTACAAAGTTGAGGTGCTTTCCCATGGGGAGGGGGGGGCTGTTCTGTTGACGATGATTTGGCCATTGTACATTATGTTTCCTATTTTCCAAGCAGTGCAAGCCGCTGCTGGAAGGGTTCTGCAGGTGTAATAAGACTTTCCAAAACATCTAACTGATTTTGAAAACAAACTGATAACGTAATGTCAATTAATAGATCGGTGTTTTCGCCTCAGTCCTACACGTTTTCTTCCCTACTGAAGGTTAAGTAAGCGGAATTTCACTCGGTATCCCCTCCCCCCCCCCCCCCGATTACGTGGTGCGGTTTTTTTATTAGAAGTTTTCTCGTCAAAATGTTTGCTATTTGTTATGGCGAAAAAAAAATTAAGTGAAAAGGAGAGCAAGGTGCGAATAAGTCATCGGTTACAACAAACTTCTGTTTTCTCCTTAATTCCACGGTAATCAATGGGTAGGTTACGAACGTACCCATAATTTCATGACATTTTTGGCCGCCATTTTAGAATATTGTGAGAATTTTGCAAAACTAATACCGAATTCGTTTTTCTCGTCCCAATGAACGCCCAGATACCAAGTCTTATGCAATTCCATTGATAAATAGCCGAGCTAACAATTTTTCCGCCATTTTGTAGGCTGCCATATTGGTTATTTAGAAAAACTGAAGGCAGATTCGTTTTTTCGTCCCAAAAAACCCCCGGATACTAAGTTGTATGCGATTCCATCGATAAATAGCCGAGATACCCATTTTTCAGCCATTTTCGGCCACCATTTTGTGAAAAATCAAGATGGCGACCTGGGACTAGCGCCAAAAATTTTCTTCTTTTATCCTCCTTTCCAACGATGGGTCACAAGTGGGGGGTTGCCACTTTGAAAAAAAAAAGTTGCCCCCTGCCCTCCCCTAGGGGGCCCCCAAAAAAATTTTGGGGAGTGCCAAAATATAGCTTACTTTGACCCAAGAACATCCCCCAAAATTCGTTTTTCTACGTGTAGCCGTTTAAAAAATAAACAGCCGCCCCGGGACTTTTGCCGCACCCTGTATAAAGGACACCTTTCTCGTCTTAAGTGAGAAGTTGAACTCAGAGTCGTATATGAGGTACTGGGTCATCCCACGCCTAGGTAGTCCCGGGGGGTATTTTTTCCCCCCTCCAAATGACCCAACAATATTTATTTTTGGACTCCTTAATACTCCTAGTTTTTGGAAATATATGGGGTTTACATCCGTTTTGTTTTTTTTCTCGCAATTTTCACGTGTTTTGTAACCCCATTGGTAAGCTTCATCCTACTGTAAAAAAAGTGACAGTTTGGTAGCAATATTTTCTGGTGTTCCCGCCAAAACCAAGTTTCAGGTTATGTTTGCAGTTGTCAAGAAGCTGACTCAATGTGCTCTTGCAAAATTTCAATTTGTAAAAGTAATTACTGTATATTATATGTAACTTTTAAAACTTAGTGTACTGACTGTCACACCCGTTACGCAAAACATGGGTTTTTTAATGTAACTATTTTAATTCATGTTATTTTGAGATGCTAATTTTTTCCGTACGTCTTCAAGTCAATTACAGCTTTGGAGTATTTTTTCCAAAATTTTATTTCAACAATTGATAGACAAAACTGCGTAACGGGTGTGACACGTTACGGGTGTGACCAATGAGAAGAGGCTTCAACTATGCAGATGTTGCCTCACTTCTCACCATTTTTTCTATGGTTATCACAAGAAATACGCTCATATGCACAATTAGAGGTATGTATACATATAATAAGAGAGAGATAGCCAACTTTTTTGCCATATTTCAGTATTTAAAGTGAATACACCTATCTCAAAAGGACTTCAAATAGAACTCGTTGAACTCTCTCCGATTGGATTGAAATATTTTCACTTTACTTTAGGCCTAGACCTACCGTACCAGGATTTTTTTTTTGGTTAATTTGGATCATGCGAGGTCCAGACCGCGGGGACGAGAGGGGAATCCTGGGCTACCCGAAGAAAAGCCCTGGGACGGTAGGTCTGGGCCACCCTGTAGAAAAATGTAGTTTTGGCATGTTCTACATTAAAATGTGTCAAATTGCTGATTGATTTACTGCTTAGGATTGCTTACAATAAGAGTATGAAAAGAAAAGTAAGTTTCTTAACTTTTAATTTTTCTCAGAAATGATGGACCTCAGGATTACGTAGCATGGTGTCAACGATCATGGTGTCAACAAACAGTTTTTCTAAGTTTTTGTTGACACCATGATCATCCAAAAATAAAAAATTCTGACCCTCATGAAAAATGATCACGGTGTCAACGATCACGACGTCAACGAAACTTAAAACTTGCCTCAATAACACCTTTTAAATCTCAAGTCTTGTTTTTCTTGTGTTATTCACTCTAACCTAACCTAACCTAACCTAACCTAACCTAACCTAACCCAACCCAACCCAACCCAACCTAACCTAACCTAACCCAACCTAACCTAACCTAACCTAACCTTACCTGACCTAAACTAACCTAATCCAACTATACGTGACCCAGACCTCTCCTGTACACTTAATTTTTTAATTTTACTCACAAGGAAGATATTTTTCTGTTTGTTGACACCGTGATCGTTGACACCATGCTCAGGGCCCATTTTTGCGTTTTACTGACTGATCACGACGTCAACAATCGTTGACTCCATGATCAGATTTTTGGTTTGTTGACACCATGATCGTTGCCACCATGCAACGTTACCGACCTCAGAGAGACAATCTGTCACACCCGTTACGACACACCCGTTACGTCACACCCGTAACGCAAACGGTAGGTCTGGGCCACCTTGTAGAAAAATGTAGTTTTGGCATGTTCTACATTTAAATGCGTCAAATTGCTGATTGATTTACTGCTTAGGATTGCCTGCAATAAGAGTATGAGAAGAAAAGTAAGTTTTTTAACTTTTAAACTCTCTCAGAAATGATGGACCTCAGAGAGACAATCTCTCACACCCGTTACGTCACACCCGATACGCAAACTCTCCCATTTTTCAAGGAAAGTAAAAAAGATAATCGAAAACGGATCATCGGCAGATGAAGCAAAAACCCTTGGCTTCATCATATAATTTAATCAGATTTTTAAATTCATAAAATTCGCTGAGTTTCCGCTTTACACTCACTGAGGAAAAACTCACTTCCAAAATCGGTCACGCCCGTTACGCAGCCTTTTAATTTTTTCCTGAGGAATGGAACAAAGTAAAAACGATTTCTGATAAACTAAAATTATCTATAAAAAAAGTTCTTTCTGCTACTGCAGATAATTTTTTAATTAAACCCCAAGAAAGAGTTCAAATTCTTGTTTAAAGTTAAATTGTTGTCACACCCGTTACAATGGAATGACCCTACTACGAATAAAATCAGCAATTCTCGTATCAGAGTGTATTAATGTTCATTACATTACAATTCAAAATCTTGAGGCAAAGGGTCCATCTCGAAATCAATATTTTTCGTGGATAAGGTCAACGTAACAAATAATTTTGCCAGTTTTTAAAATTCCGCGGAGGAGCCCAAAATCACGATTGGTAGAACAGCTTTCCTTTATAAAATGAGAAGGCCAGCTCAGAAAATTTCTGTAGTTTGAACCTAGAATTTACTTACCTTCTAATCATTAATTTTGTGTGCCAGATAGAGGGATATGTCTCTCTGATGACGGTACGATACTGGCGATTCAAGTCTCTTCCTGTGAGTGAGCAACGATTGTTACCGACGATTACACCGTCTGGATTCAACATAGGTACTAGTTTGAAGATAAATTTGTCTCTGAGTTCCTGCAGCAAAATAGAGTAGATATTTTGACTATTTTATTTCGGAAAAGGTACAACTCTTGAAAATAAAAAATCATAATACCTCTAGAAAGCGAAAAAACTGAGTTTGCGTGGCCCATGAAACAGACTTTTTGCAATAAAACGTATTTTCCAATGTTTACGAGGTGACCAATTTTCGAAGCAATGCAGCAATTCAATTTTCACTGTACGTGGTTCTGAAATATTAATCAAAGCAGATTTCCTCTTAAGAATATCATCTTAAATTGACATGATGAAATTCGTAAGAAGAGACCTTGGGCTATTTTCTTTAAAAACGGCACCAATTTTTGAAACGGACCCAATTTCCGAAAGGCACCATTCTTTCGTAAAAATAAGCAAACTAGGCAATGCTGTCAATTATTGTCTTGAGGGGATTTAGATCTCATTAAACGCGATTACAATGGTTGGAACGATAGTTTATTCATAATGCTTCAAAGAACAGAACAACAAAACTTGAAGAGAAACATCATCGTTACACATGCCGTTAAAAAGAGGATAGAGAGAGTGGTTACTTTGGCGCCAGGGGGCAGCGCCTTGCGGTGGGTTTCATTCTGTACAATGTTGCTAGTTTGCACTCATAATATTTATGAATAACAACACCCGCTCTCAAACTGAGCTTAATACAATGTTGACAGTTTGCACTCATAATATTCATGAATAACAACACCCCCTCACAAACTGAGCTACATGCAAAAAAAAAAAAACGTATGAAACTAGTCCAAGACTCTTTACATATTTGTTATGTTTCACATGGGTTAAAATCTTGGTGAGGATATCTGCAACCATATCATTTGCGTTTCTTTACTCAATTTCGCAAACTTTATCGTAAACTAAATCTGTAATAAAATGATATCTGATATCAAAATGTTTAACGCGCCTATGTTTTTTTGTCCTTTCTATTACCTTGATACTGTTTTTACAAATAGGTAAATACCACAATTATCAGTTCTCATAGAAAATGAACTAGTTCCTACGTTACAAGCGCTAGATATTTAGGAGTTTATTTAGACTGTAGACTTACTTTTAACGATCATAAATTTTACCATATAATCAAATATTAAAACCTATATGGCAGTATGCTTCACAACTATGGGGTTGTGCAAGCAAATCTAATATAAATAAGGTAGAAAGATTCCAGTCGAAGGTTCTTCGAGAAATTAATGGAGTACCATGGTTCGTTAGGAACGAAGATAAAGGAGGGATTTGGAGGTACCCACGATTAGAGAAGTAATTGCTGAGACAACGAAGAGATATGAATGTCGTCTTGAAAAACATGTCAATGAAGAGGCTGTGAACCTCATAGATAGTACAATATTAGTGAAAAGATTAAAAAGGTGGGAGACCTTCGAACTCCCATCAAGATTTTTGCAAATAGTCTGTAAGGTATGAATGAGAGCGTGAATAGAGTGTGAAAGGAAGAATATGAAACAATTAAACTAAAAACCTTCATGTTTTAATATCTCTATAAATGAAGGCAGAGAATTTTACAATTCCTGTTTTTTTAGATTATCATAGTATTATCTAATGTTAGCCTGTAAAATTAGTTCTATTAGTCTATTTTTAATTGAAGCCATGTAGATAGATACAAGAAAATACTTGTAGTAGTTACATTATATTTAAATAAAATTCTTTCAAAAAAAAAAAAAAAATACCTTGTGAGAACTCTGATTATCATTGTAAATGGTTACACAATCTTTGACTAAACCTAGGTACATCCAAATATTTCAAAAGTTGTTTTCAATAGATAACTTCTTTGCCAGCTTCAGTAGCACTGTAATACTCTGCTTCTGTACTGGAAAGCGCAACAACTTTTTGCTTCTTAGATTATTCCCAATTAACTGTTGAGTTTCCAAACTTTGCAATGAAACCACTGAAAGATTTTCGGTCTACAGTAGAACTACCCCAGTCAGCATCAACAAAGAGTTCTAAATGGACGTATTTATACGAAAGGGAACTAAGCGCCAAATTTCCAAATTTCAGTTTTTAACGGATCTGGATTCTCCATGTAATAGGCTGCTCTCACACGTAAATATGCCCCCAAAATACTAATTTCATCCCCTGGAATCAGCCCCTGAAAAATCTCAAAACAGGGAATCAGCGATTACGAATAAAATCAAAAGGAACTATATGTAATTCCCTTTGATTTAATGCGCTAACCCGGATTCCGAATTAAATCAAAAGGCGCTATCTCCACTTGAATCACTTGATTGACGCGCGCGCGGCGAAGCTTGGTGGAAACTTGGTGAAATTTGGAACCGGGGGGTATTTTTGGACGGGAAACTCGAATTTCGGGTCAAATTTTGAAAATTCAGAAATCCAAGATGGCGGACATGGCCTAAAATGCTATCTCGGCCCCT